AAACGCTGCACATCTTCGTGACGTTTCCGTAAAAAATTACCCTCATGCGCCTAAAGTTTCACTTCAAAAATAAATGGTTTTTTGTCATACGAGGTTATCATTCTACAGTGACGTTATAACGCTGTGTTCGCCTAGGATATAGTAAAGGAAAACAATAAGCACCTCAAAACTGTATAATAAGCGAATCCGCTTTACATAATCACTTAGCGCTTAAGCAAACAGTGCCGACGCGAGATGTTAATCAACGTACCTGTACACCAACAAGCGAAACAGCTCAAGAGGGTTAATTCAGCCAAAATCAACACTCAAGCAACACAGAGGTGTGGGTAAGCTCTCAGAATCTTGTGGCTCGAGACATCAATGTTTGATATGGAAGTGAAGCACATATTTCACGTCATCAAGCGTTTAAGGCCATATACCTCAAAGGGTCTTTAAGTTATGTACAATACAAAGTCCGTAAGTTAAACGAAATGTTAAATTCTACAACATATATACGTTTTTCTGTATCTTAATACGTCGATTGATTGATGATGCATGGCATGGCACTGAACACATTGCCCTTTTCCTTCAATTACTTCCGGAAAGTACTGAATCGTCGAATATATTTATTAATTTACCAGCTGACCCGGTAAACGTTGTTTTGCCATGTATATTATTTCTAGGAAACATTTTTTCGTGCAATAAAAATAACTAAAACGGGTGAAAATTAAGGGTTGTATGTATTTTTTAATGCAACATAATAAAAAGTAAAATAATAAAATTTATCCAAAAAATAAAAATTTTGGGACGGACACCCTTATCACTTAGGGGTTTGAAATATAGATAGTAGCCGATTCACAGACTTACTGAATATGTATAAAAAAATTCATAAGAATCTGTCGAGCCATTTCGGAGAAGTATAGGAATGAATTGTGACACGAGAATTTTATATATTATATTCCATTTATTTTCTTTTGAAATGCTACAGCTAACAAAAAATTATACACAATAACCAACAATTACACTAAAAATATAGCCAAAGATGGAATTCATAATATTTACAAAAAGGTTCAAACATTTACAAAAGGGAAAAAACAATAAAAATTATTCAATACATTTAACTAAATACTTAATTAAGCTGTTTTGTGTGAAGGTGTATGTGGGGTATGCTCATGATGCAGGTGCTGTTGCGCTATGGATGTTTTTAATACCCATTTTAACCATATATTTTCTATGTTGAACAGGATCCAGAGAAATGTCTTCTAAAAGAGAATACCATTACGACAAACGCGTCACGTACTTTGAAAACCCTATAGAAAACGTAGTATAGGATATATTAAATGGATTCTGATAAAGTTAACAGTCGAACTATTCAGCGTTTCGAGTTTCAAAGACTTCTTACGGTCAAAAGCGAGATGTATTCAAAAGATGCACATAATGCTACTCTCGAAATGTAATCTGAAAATCTTTTGCATTTGTACGCTGGATCTACTTGAAGCTGCTATTTTGTTATATTTTTCTTGTACAAGTCATTTCTACTTCGACTGGTCACAATTGGCAATACTAGACACGACAGAAAATTGTATTTAAATATTAAAATTACTTAATAAAAATATGTTTAAAAAAATTACATATAACAAAATGATAATCCTAGGTTTAAGTAATAATATTTTTCAGCAGATAGACTTTAGATTAAAATAAATAAATGATAAAAAACGAAAACAAAAATTTGCAAATCCTGCTATTATTAATAATTAATAATACCCTATTGCAAAACTGCATCACGGATTAAAAATATAAATTCAAACAAAGAGAATGTCATTCGATCGTAATAGAAACTCTCCTATTACAAGACGAGACAATCTTCGTTAATAACTTTGTATAGAGCGTCGACTCCTCGTTATATAAAATAACATGTCTGCTTGGCCATTCCAGTTATTACTGGTGTAGTCGCAAGCAGTCGAATGTTATGGTAATGGCCCACCTCTAAGGACTTAAGATAACTTGATGGTTAGTAATAGATACGTTATATTACACTGTTAGTTTTCATGTTTCTAATTCGTAGCTTGGGTTTTATCAAATTTACTTTTAGCGTGGTTATTCATACTTACATACATGGTCGACCTTGGGCTTCAAGAAGACAATAGTGCATGTGTTGTAATAAAGTATGAAAAAAACTTTAAAACATAAAGGAGCGAGAAATTATTCCAAAATTGTTATAATTTTTTTCTTAATTGCTTTATTTACATTTTGATGTGTTGGTACCTATTATTAGTATAATTTCGTACTGTTTCAATAAAAAAAAAACTTGAAACAATTTAAAGACATTTCACCAAATTTAACTTGTATTTCTTTTTATATAATAACAGTGCATTTATTGCGAAAAAAACATAAAAAATTGTTCATAGCGTTCGACATTATATAAAAAACAAGGCATCGTAAAATATCAATACATCCTCAATCATTAATCTTCAAAGCGACTCTGAACATCTGAAATTTGGCGTTTCTCTATTCAAACGGTTTAATATTTCACTTTTAAGAGCGAGCAGTAGATAATACGACAGGGAATGTTTCAAATGTGATTCATGGAATCCTTCGGTTTATTCCCAGTCGAGGTTCGAGCGCCTTTTAGTTTAGACTGCGATCGAGATACCGATTCCTTGAAGTGTCCCAAATACATTTGCGAAACGGGAGCGATGTTGTATTTATCGGTAAACTTTGTTTATTCCCAATACTCTACATTTTATAGACATACTTCTAATACTAAGTACTAATGCGTGTGCAAATAGGGTATTTTTTATAGAAATAATTATGACGCATGATTTTGCATGATCAGTTGTTTTTTGATTAAAAATAATATTACGCGAATGAAATGAAATGAAAACCAATAAAATGCGTTATCTCAAATTCACTCAAGATAGTGATCGAACTTTTATAATATTGTATAAGATCTTCCGTATCGAAGGTTGTCCCTTGCGATATATCTATATAAATTATTTCTCTAAATCAAATTAACAGGTCAGGTCAAGCGCGTTGATTAAACAAAGTCCTAACGTTAAGGAGTTTCAATTTGCTATTGAATATCTTTGAATGTTCCAATACCTAATACAACGTTAGTTAAATACAAACATAATTAATCAGGTACCGGCTGTGTAACTAAACATCATTAATATGTTAAACGAGGAGTAACTATGCATAGGCCTGAGCGATCAAAGGCTAAACACTGAATGTCCGTAATCAATTCTAAAACGCGTTTTATTTGACCAATTCACACAATTATTGTTCAATTTTAAATTGCAACTAAAGCTGCGACGACCATTGGATATATAAAATTTTAATGCGATTTACAGGAAATACCTTAGACCAATTGTCAATTACCAACTAACCAGATATAAACTCGCAAGTCACATAGAAATTACACTAAATTGGATTTCGAATCTACAGAGGTATTACTACATATCTATGACTTTGAGGTTTCAAAAACTAACACTGGCACAGTGCACGATCATAACAACTTTCAGCTACACTCTCAAATACATGCGCATACACACCCATTCACACACTCACTCATTCACTCATTCTTAATTTGTAATACTAAATTATTATTATTATCATTTTTTAACATGTACCACTTAATAATTGTTTTCTAGTTACCCATAACACATGGGACTGTGAGGACTAGCGTTATAAGAATTATGTCACAACCCTTTTGTCATAAATAAAGTTTATATTATAAAATAAAAATATTGCAGAACTCAAAGTGTAAAAAATAAAAAGTGCACGAAAGAGAAGAAATTGTTGAAGTCTCCTTATTTTTCGAAATTCCTCTAATAGTGCCTTCTCCTTTAGAAGCTACCTTATGGCTAGTTTGATTTTTGAACAATGATTTGGTACTTTGACTAAACCAATAGTCCAAGATTCATCAACCAGGTTTATCAAAATTAGTTTATTATACTCAAAGAGGCACTACTTATATATAATAATAATAAAATTGTCAGTCTATGGCATGTAATTATTCGGTCCTATTGGATGTCGAAGAAAGATGATAAAGCAATATGTCTTTACTAAGGTGAAAGTGCGTTGCATTTTATCTATTCTAGTAGCCAAGTGCGGACAGAGGCAAGAAAAGTAATAAATATTTCTTATTTTGCAATACATCTATCATTAACTAATACATGAACTTAATAGTCCGTTAACTAAATTGAAATATTAATTAGACTTTTCAGTATAACATACATATTATTTACTATGAAAAAGAGCTTTTATTGAATAAACAAAAAACCGCACTGATGATATATTTGTGAGTTATGAGCTGTATGCTTCATACATATTATACTGATATGGTCAACGTTAATTAAACTATATTCTATGAATTTAATTTAGTATTAAACTATAGTGATTTTGCGTTTACAGAGAATAACACATGTTCATAAACCGTTTCATAATTAATCCGTATTTTATTAAATAAAAATAATTATGAAGTTTTACTAAACATTTAAAAGCTACAAGGCTAATTTGAGCGGTGTTTGCGAATTTTAATATTTACGCTGACCTATAGTTATGGCGTCGCTTTAAAATTTCTAAAACTACATTACTCACAACGCTAGTATAAATCTGGGTTGTCAGAACTGGAAAATAATATTTATATTTCTTCAAAATTTATGATTAAAAAAATCTTACGGGTACGTTTCTGAATACCGATCCTTTCGTCAACACCATTTAAAATTAATGATCGCGTTCTATATTTCTTGCAAGTTATTACTTATGCATGCCGAGATTTTCCGAGTGAAAAGGCGTAGTTGAAAAGTAAACCTTTGCGAGTAATGGCCATTAATCAACTAGAAGGCTTAATTGGACGCCGCCTTCCAACAGACACGAGAAATAAGCTGCATTAACTGATATTAAGCAAGATCACTTCGTTTCTAACGAAATTTGTGCTTTGAATATAAATATACTTCTAATAATGTTAAAGTATTTCTTGAATGAATCCAACACTGTAAAAGTTTAAAACTAAACGTTATTTATACTCGTAATATGATCTTGGACCTTTTTAATAGATTTTTTTTTGAACTCACCTGGCCATGATTATCAAAGCCGTGTCTTAAAGCGATGTCATCTACATGTTCTGGTCCATCTAGAACTTGAATGGCAAAGTGGTTGTGGTAGTATGTCTCCGGAAGGGACCAGCACGCACCAAGCGCGGCTATCAGAGCCAGCCAGCGCCATGTCATCATCATTGTAACACGATCACATCAGCCGCTACCGCGACCGCAGAACACTTGTTATGTTAGCACTGTTTCATTACTAGTTCTCATTCCTTGAAGCACCTGGAAAAAGAAAATACGCATTAAATATAAAAAATATATTATTTTGGAAATAAATTCTTTTCTACCCACTGAAACGTTAAGGTTGGCTTCAAAATGCACTAAAAATATCAAATGACCAAAATTTCTTATGAGAATTGAATGTATTAAACATTTATTTATTTATAAATACGGGTATAACAATCATCCCAGGTAAGAATCAATTGACACCCCGATCGGTCCCACAGACAGCGAAGCTAAACAAAACTACAAAAAATTCAACATTGAACGTATCTTTTTTACAAAAAAAAATTTAACGAGAAAGATATTCGTATGAATCTCGTAATTATAGCATCTCATGTAACACAAAGGGTAGGACCGATACATAAATTTAGATTTTAGGTCACGCGCCCTTTGCAAGGGTAAATTTAATACGCTAAGGATGGAAAAGGTCACAAACATATTTGCAGTGGCTTGACGTACGTCAGATACGCAATAAGCGGACGCGAAAAAAAATCCGCGGGAATCCCGAGATTATCCAGATAAGCCACGCCAGCAATGTATAAAAGGTCTGACCGTGAATATATCAAAATATTTATAAAATTATATTTTTTTTTTTTTTTGACAATTCACACCAATTGACCTAGTCCCATGCTAAGCTGGTGAAGCTTGTGTTATGGGTACTAAGCAACGGATATACATACATATTATAGATAGATAGACATATAAATACATATTTAAACACCCAAGACCTAAGCACAACACCAAATGCTCATCACATCGATGTTAGTCTCAGCCGGGGATCGAACCCGGGACCCATGGATTCGCAGTCAGGGGTACTAACCACTAGACCAATGAGTCGTCGAATATATAATTTACTAGCTACGCCATCCTATGTGTGTTATTTATCTTCAACATTAACAATAATATAGACTCTACTGAAAGTCAATTTAATTTTTTTTTTATTTAATGCATTTGCAATTTCATGCATGAAATGAAATGAAAAATCCTTTTTGATTAGTAGAGTAGAGATCATTGGCCTACTGGTTCAGACTTGCGACTCTTATCCCTGAGTTCGTAGGTACGAACCACATCTGCGCACCAATGGACTTTCTGTCTATGTGCGCAATTAACACTCGCTCGTACGGTGAAAGAAAACATCGTCAGGAAAGGAAACTTTTTGGTTCCAAGGCATGCCATTAGAACCAGTTTACATTTAGTCGCCAAGATAAAAACTTATATTCAATATATGTTTCATTGTAAATAGTATCGCTTCCATCTATCTCTAAGTATCGACCATTCGGTAAATTACCCTGCGAACTATGATCATAGAAGTGAATTTACGCGCACATTCGTGCCACATACTGGTACGTTTAAATATATCGGGCGTAAATTAACATTTAATTAGCGTTATATACATAGACGGCAATATATGAAATCTTTTCTGTAAGAACGTACCAATCCTACAATGAAATAACGTTGAAAATATTTGCGGAATTTAATATCAAGCTAAGAATTAACAAATATGAAGACGTAAATATTGCACATAAGCTTGTCTTTAACGTTGTCTATCTAAAGTACTGGGAAATATTGCTTCGAGTTAAGTTAGGTTGCGTCAAAGAGCTTCCACGGAATAAACAAGGAATGCCCGCTTCTTCATCAACAATACTTCTGGAGCGTCTCGTAAGTTCTGCCAGAGAAACACTTTATTAGGTTCCCTTCACCCATTTCGAAACGGTGCATTAAAATTTATAATATTTAACTAGCTCACCCGGCAAACGTTGTTTTGCCATGTATATTATTTTTAGTTCAATAAAAATCTACTATATAAAATAGGGGTTGATCGTAGAGAAGTGAAAATTTAAGTCATGAGTTATACAGAAATGCTGTATCATAAAAAATCAAACATTTTGTCTAAAAAAATTAGGGGTGAATCACCCTTAACATTTAGGGGGATATAAAATAGTTATGTCCGATTTGCAAAATTTCCCGAAAGTCGGTCAAGCCATTTCGGAGGAGTTAAAGTACAAAAACCGTGACACGAGAATGTTATATATTAGAGATTATAATTTAGTTTCAAATGTATCCTATCCATTACTATAGTGTACTTAGATTTTTAATTTTTAAAACATCAAAGACTTTATCTAATTTCAAAACGAATGTTCGCGTCACTGGTTTATTAAATTAAGCGTAACTTTCACATAACATCGAGTAACGAAGCCATCATGTATAAAGTATTTACTATTAAATCATTAATTATCTGTGTGATATTTAACGAAGAAACCACAATCTAAAAGGGTAGAGAAATTAATTAAAAGCGATCGAAGGTATAAATCCATTAGCTTGGGTCGAGGTGCAGAAATGTTTATGACATAATAACGGCCTGAATTTCGTTAACAGTAAAAATTCCATTCCCATACGTACATAAATTTCAATTGGAAATTCAAAGGATTTTTATACGGTTTTATTGAAAGAATATTATATTTCATATCCGCATATATGTTGAATAAAAATTTTATTCAGATTTCAAAAATATACATTTTAGTATGCATACTTTTTAACTGAATAATGGAAGACAATAAGGAAACTCGTTATATTTCTAATTATAATACAATCTATTTAAAATCAAAATACAATTCAAAAGATAATGCGTAATAGTTTCCAGCAGTTATCTTCATGAATTTGACTTTTTTTGATGCACAATTGGGTTTTTGAAAAAACAAATTGATTTTTTTAATGTATTTTAAAACTTTATTGTTAATAATATTGATGTTTACTGCAAAAAAACTTGAAAAAAAATATTTATTTTTTTCAATTACTTATAAACGATTAAAAATTGATGAAATTTAAATAAAATTAATGGTGTGACGTCATAATGTTAAAGCAATTTAACAGTACAGCGTTTACGGCTATTAATATATATATATAGTATATTTAATAAATAAGTCTGCATCCAGGTGTAACCGCCCAGTTTATTCATTATTCTATAGTAGTGGGTAAGCACTTGACCTTTGTTCATTAAATCTACATGGCATTTTCTAAGTTTATGTTTTTTGTTTTTTAATTAATATTAATTAACAAAATTAAATAGATCAAAACACTGTATTTATTATTTTTCTATCAACTGCAATGAGTGAAAACTAACATTATGACGTCACACGCGCTCGGGTTTGTTCGGCGTGTTTTCGGTACTGGATTCAAAAATTATTTATTATTTTGAAAAAACTTTTGAATTATTGCGATAAAAAAATATAAAAAATAGTTTTGTTATAAAACTTATATATGATCTTTCCCTTTATCACAATTTTTTTTTTTTTTTCAAAAACCCAATTGTGCGTGCTATTAAATTACAAAACACAAGTTACACATATTATTACAAAAAGAACACGCAAACCTTAAAACTTTGCTCATGCACTTACTATTATGCTACACGCTTTATATAGTTTGTATGTCACTACTAACGCCATCTATTGGCGTCGTAACTAATCAAAAGTATCGTTTGTAACAGTTGGGTGTCATTAATCTATCGATCAAATTATCATTAATTTAAATAAAACAATGTAAGAAGGTTTCAGTTACATAACTGAAAAATTCTACGAAGTTCTTCATTTTACATATATACATATATGTACATGTACAACTGAGTATAATATAGTCAAAGAATTAAGATTTTTTTCCAATCGCTGCAGCTGTAGATCTTAAGTAAGCTACGGTATTAAGGCATTGTTTACTTCATCACTCTGACCTGGTTAAGGATAGCTTACGGGATGGTAGAGAAAGGGCCTCATAGCCAAACGGTCTTTGTATGTGGCAGTGGTGGGTGTAGCGTACCGGGTTCGATTCCCGGTATTTAAGTAAGTTTTAAATTTATTCTCGGCCTTTGGTAGGGTTGTACGGTACCGGGCGAGTGCTTAAACCGTACAGTGAGGGCACGGTTGAGTTTCTATAGTATGCGGTGGGCATCGAACTATAGAAATTCCTGTGTAGGTTTAGAACGTAGCAATACGTTCTAGGCCGAGGATGGCAATTACAAGTGGTTAAGTAATTCAACATTCGTTTTTGGCGTGTGAAGGGCTGAGGTGTTTTTAGTGGGTGGGGTCTCGCTACCCCTCTGAATAGCAGAGGGATTTGAGTGTAGACCCAGCCCCACAGTCCCCGCGTCAAGCTCGACATTCTTGATGCGGGCCTGCGTAAGCGCATCTTCACCTCATATAAAAAAAACGGGATGGTAGAGAATTGGAAGACAGAATAAAAATTACTTAGACAAAAGAATTAAAGTAAAACTTAATTACATCATCTAATGATGTAAAAAATTGGGATATTTTTTCGAGTCCTAATAATCATACATAAAGAATTTACCAATTAAACCTTCATTAAAAAAGGTCAAAACCGTTTTATAAACTAATTAAATTGTTTGTAACCATATCAACTTTAATAAATCCCGATTTACGAGTTCCAAAAGCTTTTAGAGGTAGAGTTAAATCAGAGGCATGTTTCTCCGATGTTCCAGTCGAACATACTCGAATAGCCGGTCCAAATTGTTGTTTAATCTGAGACCGGATTTGAGCAATTCACCATATGAGTCCCGAGATCCTGCTTAAGGAATAATGCAATTCAAATTTCTTATAACATATTTGCCAGTTAGATATTTTTATTCTTTGAACGCACTTCGCTTATAGTATAAGTTTAATATTAATAAAAATTTAATTTATAAGGCAATACGTAACTTAGTGCTTCCCGAACCGAGAATTGATTAAGAGGACAATTTTTCCGTTCCTATTTAATTTTAACTCATATTTTATAAAATATTTATTTTAAATGTGGAAATGTTGCAGATTGTACATTTTTATTGCACAGAAAAAATGCAGTATTTTTGCATTGGCTTTTTTCATTTATTTATTTATTTATTAACAGCTCAATGGCCAAACTTAGAC